CACGGCTGTTTCTTCTGCTTCATGCTTTCAGCACCAGGTTTATTGGTCGCAGTGATCTGGGTTGGTTTCCAAAGTAATATTTCCACAGAGAGCAGCTCAAGGGTTTGGTCGTTCCTTGAGACCCTTCAGAAGGGGCTGATTTTCTGACGGTGTCTTGGCTGGAGAGCACCGTACACATCCCCGGTTTAGGCACGTGGGCTCTTTAGCTGGTTTGGAAAATCTCCGTGTAGCTGTGATGCTGGCTGGTCGTCTTCCACCGCCAGGGAAGGGAAAGCAGTTTGCTCCCGACTCCTTGGGGAGATTTTGGGGTCAGAGGTACAACGGAGCCAGCCTCGCGTGGGGACACAGGGGGGATTCTGTGCCCATCATCAAGGGGACCGGGTGAGATTTCTGGGCTTCTGGAAGGCGACCGTGCAATCAAGCGTATCGATGTTCGTGCTGCCTGCAAATGGTGGGATGGAAGGAGACTGTTGGCTTTTTTTCCTCGTCTCTCAAAGTGCATTCAGGCTGCCTGACAGCACCAGCAATCAGAGTACTTTCCATTCTTCCAGGAGGTAAAATAAGAAAACCGACTGAAAATAAGGTTCCCAGAATATCTCAGTAAACACGAGATAAAAATCAGCGCGAGCCCTTCAGCCTCCTTTGTCAGCTCTCGGCTCCCTCCCAGCTTGCCGGTGGCCACATCCCTCGCTGGCAGGCGTCCGGGCGCTCCCGGGGGGTGGGCTTGTGCCAAGTGACCCCAACCCAGGATTTTACTGTGCAACCCGAAAGATGAGACATCTGCTTATTGGCTTTTGGAAGCTTTTTATTAATTAGCACTTATAGAAAGCGCTTGGAGGGCCTTGCATGCTAAGCGCAGAGGTAGGAAGCAGTTTGCTTCTCATAACGTTTCCGTCGGGATCTCTTGCTCTTGCATTTACTCTTCCAGCCCGGCTCGGCCGCGGTCTGGAGCGCGGGGTGCCCATTGGTGTGTAACTCTGCCCCCTCCCCAGGTGAAGCCGTGGGGAAGAGCAGCGTGGTCCCTTTACCGTACGAGAGGTTCCTGAAGGAGCCAGGCCTGCTGGCGGTGGCTGGCTTGCCCGAGGGGATCAGCTTTAAGAAACCCATGGAGTATGACGTGAAGTCCCTGATGGCCATCTTAGAGCACAGCCACAGCATCCGCTTCAGGCTAAAAAGGTAATTTGGGGGATCCCCGAAGCCGCAGGAGGGCAGCGAGCGGTTGGGATGGTGGTTCTTATAAACACCAGTGGATGGCAGAGATTTTGTGTGGAGCAGGCAGGAGGGTCCCTCCCATGTCCCAGCTTCTCCCCCAGACCCAGAAACTTGGGTCCAGCCATGCCAAACCCAGCCTTGCGTGGAGGTTCATGGGTGTCAGGTGGCTCGAGACCGTTTCGGACTTGTTCCTATAATAAGCGTGTGTAAACGTGCGCATTAACCACATCGCTTTACGTGTCTCTGCCAAAATTTCCGCTGCGGTAAGCTAAGTGCTTTTCTGTCTCCAGTGGGGTTTCCAGTGTAAATGCTGCAAGCTTCTTCCTAGGCTGAGATGGGGTTTTTAACGCCAGACGAGGAGGGAGGAGGGGGACCATGGCGCGGCGAACTCCCCATTTTGGTCATGTTTTTGCAAGGGGCTCGGCAGTTTTGGGTGCATTTCCTCTGCGTTTGCCTGGCTGGCAGCACCTCGGATCCATTCAGAGAAATGCTGAGCACTACCAAATACCTCCTCTGAAGGCTCGGCACTTCTGGAAAATCAGGCTGAGACAGCTAAAAGTAGGACACACAGAATTTGAGCAGTCTGTGAGCTCACGGCCGCTTGTCTCACGTGAAGCACGTGGGCTTCCTCGGTCTGCAGCTCATCCTCGGGCTGACTGAGGTCGTTGTTGGATGTGCCATGGGTCCTGGCGGCCAGGATGGGCAATGGAGTCAAGTGGTTATGGTCACACAAATCGTTTTACTCCTTAAACATGCTGGCCCGTGGAGCTAGGTGGCTTTGCCCTAGCTAATATAAACGCTTCAAACTGCCGTAAGACCAACCTGCTCCACCTAAAGAGGACAAAAACAGCGCAGGTGCCTGAAGAAGCTGGAGGAGGTTGGGTGATGGCTGTCATTTCTGAAAAATGGAGTCAAGTGGTTATGGTCACACAAATCGTTTTACTCCTTAAACATGCTGGCCCGTGGAGCTAGGTGGCTTTGCCCTAGCTAATATAAACGCTTCAAACTGCCGTAAGACCAACCTGCTCCACCTAAAGAGGACAAAAACAGCGCAGGTGCCTGAAGAAGCTGGAGGAGGTTGGGTGATGGCTGTCATTTCTGAAACAAAGAGCCCAGCAGCAGCGGTGCAGCCTGTCCCACTCTCCCGGGCACGGCTCTCCTTCCCCCTCTGCATCCTTGCTTGTCCCAGCTTAGCACTGCCACAGACCCAAAGGACCCTGTTATTTTCCTCCTCTTCTCTCTTCCTTCCCCTCAGGCCGGCGGACGAGCCCAGCCGAGAGCCGAACCCCAGCGTCGAGTTGACTTGTACATCCCTCGCCTCCAAGGGCGGCCGGGACTCTGGTGCCAACGGCCCCATGGCCAAACCCGCCGGCCAGGACGCCCCCTCCGCCGTCGCCGTCACCAACTTCTTATATGGCGTCTCACTGCCGACCCAGCTCGCCGTTGACCTAAAGCAAGAGGTGTCCTCCGGCCTGCCTGGGCCGAACGCGGCCGGCGAGGCGCTGCTGCCCAGGCCCGCGGGAGAGCTGAAGGTGCCTTCCTCACAGGAGTACAGCGACTGCTGTGGTAATAGCCTGGAGTTTGCTCTCAGACGAGGGCCTGGTGCGAAGCCCACCCCCCCGGCGCTGACAGGGGACAGGCCCGGGTGTTTTGGCGGTCCTCGGATGAAAATCGGTGCAAAGCTTGGCCCGTACGCAGAAGAGCAGACCCCCACCCCTGCCGTGTCCCTTCCCCGGGTGCCTCTGAGGCGCACCTCCATTTTCGCCCTGAAACGCCGGGTGCTGTGCCGCAAGGCTGGAGGGGCAGCCGGGGGGGGTGGTGGGGGCTCGGTCTGGCCAGGACCCCGCCGGGTTGCATGGAGGAGAGCTGATGGGGTCAGGTCGGCATCACCGACAGGGGGACAGCACCCTGGGGCTTGCTCAGGTGCCCGGAGCATCGGTCAGGCTCTCATCAGCCCTTTCTCCTTGTCTCCCCTCTTGTCCAGGACAGAAATCGTCGGTCTCCGGAGGTCCCCTCATCCAGAATGTGCACTCATCCAAGCGCATCCTCTTCTCCATCGTCCACGACAAGACAGGTCTGCGTCCCACTCCGGTGCTGGGGGCAGCTGACAGCCACCTCTTAGGGAAAGGTTTTCCCCCGGCCCCATCTCTCCCCAGTGGTCTCCCAGCCATCACCATGCTCTGCAGGGACCCGGTGGTGCTGGAGGTGCTGCAGCGGGGGATTTTTTTCCCTTTTCTTGCTGCAACGTCTCAGCATCACAGCCAAGACCTCCATCCCTGCTCAGGTCTGTCCCAGCCATCTCCACGACACCGGGTCCTGAAGCGCTGGTGGCCAGCTGGGAAATCCCATCCCCACTTCGTGCACGGGGAACAGAGGCACGGCTTTGGGTGAGGCTGTTTGCCCGAGCTGCAAAGAGCAAATACCTGCCGAAAGCTTGGTGTTATTTCAAAATAACTGAAACCCACTAACCCCGGCGTGATTCTGCAGCGGTGCCCAGGGGGATCAGCAATGGGGAGGAGACTCTGCCATTTCCCCACTTTCACCCCACCCAAGGGAAATGCAACCTAAAAATGCTGACATGTTTACATCAAAACCCTTGCTTGCCCGCGTTAAAAAAGAAAAAAATATGGGTGGGAAAGTTGGAAAAGAGAAGGAGATGAAAAATCTCCTCTGTGAAATGGCCGAGCCTTTCAAAAGTTCGTTTCAGGTTGAGTTTGCTCTGTCCCAGAGGGTCTTTCATTTCAGGGCTGAGAAGTTTTATGGGGTCATTTCTTAGGAATCTGCTTTGCACACGCGCGGCTGCAGAGAAGGTTGGTTGGGGCTGGGGCTGGGGAAGCCCAGACCTTATCTGCCAGCCTGGCAGAATCTGCTCAGGAAGAGGGAAATCATTATTTTTAAAGAAGCAAAGTCTTGTTCCTGCTTCCCAGCGCTTCGCGCGAGAAAAGTGCATCTGCTGTGTATGAACCATATGGAAGTTCCTTATTTCTTATATTTTGTTTTGATAGATAAGTGGGACAGTTTTATAAAAGAAACTGAAGATATCAACACCCTTAGGGAGTGCGTGCAAATTCTGTTTAACAGCAGATATGGTGAGTAGGAGTTAATATCCCATTATGCATCTGCAGCGCTTGTGGTTTGCATATCATTATATAGCAATCATTTTTGTTCCCTAACACAGCAGCAGAAGCCATATGCTAGAGCTCCCTTCTCTTCCTAACACATTTAGCCCAGCAGCTCCCAGTCTCTGGGTGTCTGCTGAAGGTTATGTCAATATTTCCATTTGGAGCCCCCCTCCCCCCCCACCCCACCGTCGAGGAATTTATAACTGGGCTGTAAAACAGCCCCAGTTTGAAGCGTGGCACACCAGGTCAGAGCACCCGGGTGCTGCTGGCGCTTGCAGGTGAGGGGGAGCAGTGGCATGCCACCGTTTTAAATTATCGTGGCAGGAGAAAAAAGAAAATTGTCCTTATTGCAGCTGCTTTTTTCCACGTGCACGGCTTACTGGTGTTGCTGGCACTTCCCTTGCCGTGGGCAGTGCTTTTGGGTTAGTTCCTGGGTGTTCGGGCCGCTGTAAGCTCAGGAATGGGCTGATGGGCTGAAGGTTGTCGCCTGTACCATCCTCATCAGGCTGTGTAATTCGTGAGTTAAAGGTGGGCTATAAATAAGTGCTATGTAACTTGTGAGTTATATATGGGCTATAGATGAGCTCTGTAAATTATGAACTGTGTATAAGCTATGCAACTTGTGAATTATATAGCTCAATGACCTGCTGTGGTCACAGGGAGGTTGGGGACAGCACTTGGGCCAGCTTGCCCCTGGTTTGAGCAACGCCGGGTGCTTTTGGGGGGGTTTGGAGGACATCGTTAGCTGTGTTTGCTGCTGTGCTGTCTCCCCGTTGTCCCATCTCCCATGGGCAAGCTGCTCCCGGGGCTCATCTCTGGGACAAGCAAAGGAGAAGAGGGCAGGAGGCACTCGCTCTGCTTGAGTTCAAGCCTTTACACCTTCATTTTATCATCTGTAAAAGAAAAAGCAAGTGTTTAAGTGAAAACCATGCGTTCACCTTTCAGCTGAAGCCTTGGGGTTAGACCACATGGTGCCCGTCCCGTACCGGAAGATTGCCTGCGACCCCGAGGCAGTGGAAATCATCGGTATCCCGGACAAAATACCCTTCAAAAGACCTTGCACCTACGGTGTCCCCAAACTCAAGCGGATACTGGAGGAGAGGCACAACATCCATTTTGTCATCAAAAGGTGGGTGGGTGGGTGGTGAGGAAGGCACGGGAGAGTGCACGGCCTCGAGGGGGCTCGGGGATTTAAGCTGTGTTCCCTCCGTGCTCACAGGGTTTGTTTCTTCATTCAAAATTCACTTTACCTTTTTTATGGAAAAGAGCTTAACAGCTCTTCTTTCCCCCCAAACCCTGTTTTCCCTTCCATTCTGCCTTTTTCGCGAGGCTGTGGCAGGGCTGGCCGTACCACGGTCACCCCCGAGCCCCACCACCCTGTTGTAAGTCCGTGCAGGCATTGCCGGTGCCACCCTGAGCATTTCGGGTGGTATCGGGACCCTCCGATCGCAGCACAACTCTCTTCAATGGCATTCAGTGGATGGGAGCGGTGCCTTCGGGTGGGAGGAGGAACATCCATATTCATGCCGCATGGGGATTCCCCTCCACCTTGTTTTGTAGTGATCACTTATGGACACCCTATATATACGATGATGAGGATGTATCGCCTATGGGCAGGGCGTTGTGTCTTGGTGTCTGCGTTTACACTGGAGTAGGAGTGGACGCTTTCCCAGTTATCTCTGCACCGTGCAACCCCTCTTTGCTTCTCCGTCAGGAAAATCTGCTTTATGATTTATTTATTCAGTCCCTGCCTGTGCAGCACTTGTGTTGTTCCCCTGCTAGAGGTGTGAAACTATGGTGCAGAAAAACCCCAGCTAAGGCTCCCAAGGGGGCTAAAATCACTGACATCAACAGGACTCAGGCATCCTAAAAGGAATTAGGCTTCCAGATGTCAACCAGTGGAGGAGCAGCTTTGTCCCGCACTGCTTGGGCTGCGCCAGGCTGGATCAGGCCCCAGGACATGCCCTTGAACACTCTTTGCGCCCATGAGCAAAGTTGTGGGTGGCACCAAAATGTGATATTCAGGAGACAGGTGGCATCTGGTCGATGGTCAACGTCGTGAAGTGAAGGTCCAGCAACAGTTACTTCAATCCCATTGTGTCTTTTGGTAAAGCCAGGCTGTAGCAGCCTCATTTAATAAGTTAATTAAATGAAGAGAATGACTTATAAGCAGATTTAAAGGTACTTTAGTTAAAAAGCGTGTGCTGTAAGATTGCTTGGTTGCACAACAGGCTAAAAGGCTTCCCCCCCCCCCCCAAAAAAGTCATTCTCTTTTTTTAGGGAATGAATAAAACTACCATTTTGACTTGGTTGAATGTTCTTCGTTAATAAAACCTAAAATTCAGTCATTAGTAGCACCCATTTCTAATCCCTTTTTTTTCCTTTCCTCCTAGGATGTTTGATGAGAGAATTTTTACAGGTACGTTCTCCACGTCCTTCGATTTATTACCCACAAAATGGAAAGATTATCCAGAGAAGCAGAGTTGAAATAATGTCACCTGTAAGCAGCAAAAGTGCAGGACACATGCAATTATGCTCAGTGAGGAGAAGCCTTGCCTGTGCCCTACACCCAGGCGTGCTGAGATTGCCTTCGCCTGGGATCTGTACAAGCACTGTGCACCCCTTAAATACTGTTTTGAAGGTCTAAGTGAGAAATCCCCCCTCTCTGCGCCGGGCTGAGCTGCAGCTACAGGCAACACACAGCATGTTTCTGTGCTTTCAGGAGGAAGAAAAATCACTGCTGGGTTCCTCACTGGTAAATTATTCTCTTTTTTTTTTTTTTTTTGGCTGCAAAGTGCTAGCATCATCCAGCTGCTGACTGTTTTAAAAAGAAAAACAAGAAAAAATCAGTTTTTCAGTGACAAAAGCCTGGGGAGGGGGTTTCTTCAGCTTTCTTTGCCCTGTGTTTTCATTCGTTTTGGTTTGAGCTGGGGAAGCCAGGCTAAGTGCTTCTTGGCAAATAAAATGAGATGGGTACTGGTGCTGTCTGACCCTCACTCCAGCAGCTGCCCTCGTCCCACCGCGCTGATACCTGCCTGAACTGTGGCACTGCACCCGAATTTATCACCGCCCAGCCCCACTCCCGGCTCGCCTGGGCTTGGCTTGCAAGTAAAAACGTGTTTTGGGGTTGTTGTTTTGTGGTGCTTTTTTTTTTTTTTCTCAAGCTGCCAACCCCTCACGCTGGCCTGGCAGCTTTCCCGACAGACACCACCTTCTCGTCTGACATCTCTGCTGCCTGAATTAACCCCTGTGGCCCCACGACAGCCCCAGCCCCAAGGGTGCTCCCTGGGGATGATGGCGCCAGAGCCACCCAAAGGGGACCTCCAGCAGAGCCTGGAGGAGGTCCCACCTCCATAGGGGGTTTCTTTGTCTCCAGCCCCATTAATGACTTTGTTTCTCAAGGAAAGGATTTTTTTTAAGTTCTAACCCATCCCCAAGGGATGGAGCTCTGAACTGTGTCTTGGGATGCTTGGATTTTCCTTGCAAATCCATCAGGGTTGCATGGGTATCCGGGGGGAGACATCGCGTATGTCTGTACATCAGCTCAAGAGCCGCTGACGGAAAGCGCCGTGCCCCGAGCTCGGGGGTTACATGGCAGGGGTGGTGCAAGTTGGAAATTAGGAGATGAGGAAGCAAACCCAGCAGGACTGGGGCGGATGGCAGTTCCCCCTCCCCTGCTTGGTCCCTGCAGGGCTACCAGGAGCAAAACACATTAAACCTGGCTTTTTGTGATTCGCGTCAGCACATCTGACTGTGCAAAAAAAAAAAAAAAAAAAAAAGCATCTGCTGAGTCAGGAGGTGCCATTTTTGCAAAGACACTATTTTCCAAGCAGAGCTGTATTTTAAATTGCCGACTGCAAAGTATCCCAAAGCTTCCCCGTACAGTTTTGCTCACCCTTTAATTAAAATACCCACCACTGCTAGGAAACCTATTTTTGCTGCTCCCCTGGGTAGCAGCTTCAGGCAGGCTTCACTGCTGCAAGAACAAGATTTGGTCCATAGAAAGCACAAATTAAAAGGAGCCTTTTGGACTGTCGGTAGATAAATAATGTCTTTAAGGCTCTATATTGCTGTTGGTCCCATTGCCAGAGCCCTGCCCTTCTCCCTTGCCGACTGGAGCCGAAAGGAAAAGCTTCATGTTCCCACAGACGGGATGTGTTTTGGAAGGGTGGGGATGTCGTGATGGCACTTTGAGACCAGCGAAGGGCCTTTGGCAGCAGCTGTTTAACAAGACACCTACATGGTTTCTGCAGCCTCACGGCGTAATTTCATTCCCTCCTTCCCCCAGCACTAATCCTTCAGCTCTTCCCTCACCTTCTCTGCCTGATGTTCGTTTCCTACCCTGCCTTCAGATCACTCTTTTCATCTCCAAGGTCATTGCTGAGGTTTCTTTTCAGCTCCTTTCAGGTTGCTGAGGAACGGGGAAGGGAGAGAGGAGGTTTTTCATGGTGACAGGATGCTTTTGTCCCTCTCTGTGTCGCTGCAGCAGCGATTTCTCCTGCTGTGTGTGGGGCTTGGAGCTGCCTGTATCACCGCTGCTCTGGGCTTTGCCGAGCTCCCATTCGGCGCAGCCCATCCCTTCCCTTGGGACAGGTCTGTCCCCACTTTGGGGACACTGGTCCATAGCCCTGGCCCTGCCTGGGTTTCCCGACCCCAGTCCCCACCTCTCAGCAGACAGCCCTTTCTGGAGATGCTCCATCCCCAGCAGGGCTTCCTACCACACATGTAATTACACAGAGGTTTAAGCAAGTGTCTTGCTATTATTTTAACGTGTAAACCCAATTAAATCTGCACCCTTCTCTTTGCAAGCAGGTGGCTCTTGAAAACCTGTCCCCCAGCCTGACCTCAGCTCTGGGACTAGGAAGGGAACAAGTCGGGGTGGAAAAACTGCATCGTTGGCATCTCTGGTTGCTAATTCTGGTTTTGCTTTTCTTTCCAAAATCGCCCTGCGCACCCGGCACCAGGAAGCAAATTTACCAAAGATCCAACCAAGCTGGAGCCCTCCAGCCCCCCCGGGGAGATCTCCCCAGAGCCGCACCGCGGGGCCGCGCTGGACCTGGCGGGGACCTCTCAGGCCAACAGCAGGTAAGTGGCACTCCTGTCCCTCCGCCACCGCAAAGTGACATCCCTCAGAGAGTTATTTTGGGGTCAATAACGTGCACAGCAGGTTATTGCTGCACGCGTGGGCCAGGAAGGACGGATGCGGGAGGGTGCGATGGGTGCAATTCGGTAAGCTGCAGCGCTGGGGAGATGTTGTAGGTAATGTGGTGGGAAGGTGAGCGGCTGTAAGGGCGTTGCTTTCCTGCCTCCCTAAACACCCCCTGCGATGGTTCAGCTAACCAGCACACAAGGAGGCCGAGCACCCCCATCCTTCTGTGAGCCAAAATAGCGAAGTTTGGAATCATCGATTTTGTACAAAACTGCTGAAATCGGGGCTGTGCCTGGGCAGGATGGGGTTATCTGCAGGAACAATCTCCGGTGTTAAAGCATGGCCTAAGGATTCACCCTCAGCCAGCATCGTAACACAACATCCTGCTAATTAAGCGTTACTTGTTTATAAAGCTCACAGGGACACTAATAGCGGATTAACAGATGTTTTAATAAAGGCGGCGTTACGGAGTTCAGTGGGGTAGGAGGCTTTTTATGAGAGTACTGGTTTCTGGTAAAACTGTGCCACAATCTAGACTGGTCAGTAACATGCTGGCAGTGCCTATGGAGCGTAAAGCTCTGCTTTCCAACCCATGCTGGGAGATCCAGAAGGTATTTCTCTCCGTGTAGCCCCAGTTTCCTTCATTTTTGCTTCAGCTGGTCAGAAGCAAGGTAATACTTATCTTTAAAATCACTTTAAATAAGAGAAGTGGGGCAGCAGTTTGTAGCAGTATAACTGGTGCTCGCGGGTGAGGCTGTGCCGCAGGGAAAGGAGCCCTTTCCCCGCCTTGCCCCGCACAGACAGCTCGGTTGTGGATGGGTTTACGAGCAGTAAAATGACCTTTGCTAGGATGTCCATCCGCACACCCATGCTGGAGGCCACCGGCTGCAGGGAGGCTCAGGAGCAGGGCTGTAGGAGCAAGCGCTCCTCAGCCTCTCCGGCACAAAGTCTCGCTGCCCAGAGTTGACACCTCCACCAGTCGGGGCTGTGGACTGTGCTGTGGGGTCAGTATCTTCTGCAGGCTGGGTTGGGGAGAGGGGGTAACTTGTCTCCACCGTGGCCTGTGTGGGGTTCCCTTCCCTCCTTGGCTCTTTGTTGACGCGAACCTGCTGGGATGCAAGGCAGAGCCAACCATGGGCATGGGAAGGGGGTTAAGATGAGCGAGTGGTTGGGTTGGCTTGCCTGGACCGGGTCTTTGGGGGTGATGTTGGCTTGCTTTGTGCATTGATATTGTACCTGGGTTGAAATGGTCGGTGCTCAGCGTGCAGGTGTCACCCCCAAAGGACAGCAGTCCCAAATGCTGTGCTGGTCAAGTGGGCCGTGGCAGCGCAGCCGCTCGCCCACTGTGCCGGAGGGAGGCTGGTGGTGGCCACCTTTGGGCATCCATGCCGGAGCGGGGCTGGCTGAGTCACTCCGGCACCTTTCATCAGCAGTGAGCTCGGTGCACTTGGGTGAGTCAGCCCTTTCCAACCATTTGAAAGGGTTTGGAGGAAACACACCCCACGAGTGCCTGTTTCTCTTCCCAGTGATGAAGGGATTCTGGATGAGAGCCTTCACCAGAGACGTCTGTGGTGGGAATTCAGCTGGGCTGGGTCCCAGCCTGAGGTGCTTCACTTGCATTACGGGGAATTAAACTTGAATCTCCAGGATCCTCAACTAGAGCTTAGCTATAAAACCATTTCTCAGCCAGCTCTGGATCACTCTCTGCACCTTGCTGAGTCGCTCCATGTCTGGAGGCGTTTAGACTTGGGGAGTGGCAGAGCATCCGTTGTGTGCTGGATGCCAGGGGGAACGGTGATGCTTCAAATACCGCTGGCCTCAGCACGCTGCGGGCCTGAAACCCGGCCTGAGGCTTCTCGTTTTCCCGTTCATTTGTTAACATTTGCAATTAGGACACTTTTAATTTTTGCCGCAGAAGATCCCACTGTGCAGTTAAATTGGTGCGACTGGAAACAAGGAGGTGGAAGGACAGGATATTAGGGATGCCGAGCTGGTTTCTGCAAGGAAATAGGTAGATAATCAGCTGATGCGTGTCTGTGGGAGCGTGCTGATGGGGCGGGAGCTGAGGTTTGCCGCTGCAGAGCTCCGAGGGCAGCCAGAGGCTTGTGTTCCCCACACTGTCCTCACCGATGCCGTGCCATCCCTGTCTCACCTGCCGCACCCCGGCTGTGGGCCAGGTAGTGGTTGCATTGTGTGGGTAAAACCTCTTTAGAAGGCACTGTGGGGGGAAAAATAGGGTTTTTTAGGGGTGGTTTGTACCCAGATGCATGCAGATCATCCTCCCCGTGGTGGTGCTGTGATGTGGGCTGGGCTGGGCTGGGCTGACAACCTTCCACTGGTGTGAATCTCACGCAATGTGAAGATCATCCTGGGGTCCTTTTCAAATTTATCCTAGCTGTGTGTGCTGCATGTATATGTGCCTTGTTCCTAATTTAAGCTGTGGGCGTGCATATTGAATCGGGCCACGGACCCCAAGCTTCACATTCACCTCTAGTTACAAAGGGAGTCATGAACTGCAGTGGTGGTGTACAGCTTGCTTTACCTGCCGCAGGGGTGAACTTAAATCCCCCCAAATCTCCCAATGCATCGGTAACACCTATCTGCAGGAAAAAAATATGGGGATATTCAAATCCCACTTTGTTCTTCCTGCGAATGAGAAACCTCTGTTCCCTGGTAGGAGAAGACCATTTCCATAGCAGTGGTCCACCCAGGTCAGAGTCCTTTCCAGAGGGGGGCCAGACACTGCGGGGTGTAAACGCACGCCCCAGGGAAGGTCTCCTCCCAAATTTCCCTTGGGAAAGGTTGACTTTGACCTGAAGTGGGAGAATTTAAACCCCCCCTTCCCAAGGCTCCTAGGTTATATATACAGTACTTTCTAAACCAGAGATCCTTTCTACCCATACCACATTTAGGGAGAACATTTCAAGAGCACTCCTGGCTTCCCTCGCGTTGCCCGTAGTTTGTTCTGCTGACACCACTGAGTAGATTTAGGCGAGCGAGGAGTGCTTTTGAACATTCCCCCTGAGCCAACAGGGATGTGGTGCTGGCTCAGAAGGGTTTTCCTTCTTCCTGAAGGACCAGCGTTGTGGAGGAGTGTTTTCCAGTGCTGTTCTTTAGATCACTTACTGCCAAAGCGCCGTGGTTGTTCTTGTTTAAGAAAGAGAGAGACAGAAAGCAAATGCGTCCTGAGAATACAAAGTAATCTCATTTGGATGCTGAACACCTTGGGTAAATTCCTTAGCATGCGAAGTTGACTGTGGACGCAAGTTTGGGATAGCGCCCAGTTTTCAGGGGAGAAAAGCTTTGGGCAGAATAAATATTTACCAAATCAATTGACTTTTTTCCTTTCTCCCTATTTGCTTTAGCTCTGTGAGTAACCACATTGTAATGATACTTTATGCACCGCTCTCTGCCGCAAAGTGATGGAGTCGACCAAGTTTAAAACCAAGCTTAAAACCCCTCTTGCTTTCAGGAGCTCACTGCTGTGGTTACATCCATCAGTGTCTAGCGGCAGAGCTGATGCCAGGGGAGAGTTTGGGAGCAGGGCTTGGTTGCAGAGAAACCCACAGACCGTGGCTTCCCCTTGCAGCCACGGATGCTGTGCCAATCCTGGGACAGTGGGTACAGTGTCCCCAAGGACCCCTCCGCAGCCCTTGCCCGGCATTGCAGGGGGCCGCGGTGTTTCTCCCTCCTGCCAGAGTCAGTCCTGCGCAACATCGCTGGGTTTTAAGCTCTCTCTTTGGTTGCTCCATTACCACCTCTCTTGTCTGCCTTTCCTTGCCAGGTCCGAGAAGTGTAGTGTTTCTGAAAGCTGTGAACCAGGTGAGAAATAATTCATTTTTTTCTTGCAAAATAGGCATATTGGGGGATGGGGGAGGGGGAGAACTAGAGAAAGCTGCCTGCAAAGTAACTTGGATGTGTGGCACCAGTTACCTGCCACAGGGCAGTTCTCTCAGGATTTTATCCCCATTTGATAGATGCAGAGATGAAAGATCTTACCCTGTGACCCTCCAGCTGGGTTCCAAAAGTGCATAAATTGAAATAACAAGACTTAAGCACCTGCTTAAAAAACGATGCTTGAGTTCCTTTCTCCCTGAAAGCTGCCACTGTTGGGTCACAAGAAATCAGTGGTGTCAGCGCTCTGAGCACTGCAAATAAGAAGTGCTTTTCCCCAGGTTTAGCAGGTTGGACCCACCAAAATGCCACACTGAGCCTGGCTGTCCTGCCCGCCCAAGTTGCAGGCTCTGACTCAGCCCCTGGCAGCTGAGGTCCCACCCTAAATGGGGAAATTTATGTGGAGATAAGAGGCAGCTGGGCTCGGCATCCTCCCGGGACAGCCTCTGCAGGTTGGCTGGTCCAGGGTGGGATCCCATCTGGCGGGGTTCAAACCCCGCTGAGTTTTGCTGGGGTTCAGCCGGTCGGGCCCTGATGTGATGTGGCTGCGGTTGGCCCTCCCAAAGCACAGGTCTGCAGAGGGGCTGGTCCCAAACATGAGTTTGGGAGCATTAAAAACGCCAGGAGCGCCCACTGGAAATGGTTCCTCCTGTGTCCCCACCAGTGATTGTTGGCGACCCAGTTTGTTTTAAGTGAAGTACGACAGGAAACGAGCACGTAACAAGGGCTGGCGGCCTTTTTGAGGGCGCTAACAGTTCCTGCCAGCTGAACTGTTTGCAGAGGCCATGCCCGCAGACATCCTTTGGGTACCTCCATGCCATGGCCTTGATGCCACTGGGCCACTTGGCCGAAGCCTCGTTGCTGCGGGATGCTCAGCTGGCACTGAAGTCATGGCCTGCCACGGTTTCCCTGCCCACATTGGTGGGCAGATGTGGCATCTCTGGTTCCTGTTGGCAATTGCCTTTCATTGCCTTTCCCTGGTAGGTACCTCAGGAGAGCTGGGTGGGATCAGGCAGATCAAAATCGAGCCGGACGAGCTGGACATCATCCAGATCACCGTGCCAGGTAGGTGCTGGGGTACTGGCTGTGTGCAGTGGCCTCTGCGCAGGCAGCGCTGCTGCGTGGCATCTCGGCGTGTTGCTTTGAGAAGAGGTGTTTGTGGGGGTATCTCCTAGCATGGAAGGTCCCCCCATGCCCTAGTTGTTCTTCACTGGAGGTCATATCGGGAGTTAGTGGGTTTCCTGGCAGTAGTGCAAGGTGGTTTAGGGCTTGCTCTTGTTTCTCACTCTCCTTCATCGCTTTTCTGTGTTGCCTTTCCCCTGGAGAAAGCGAGCCTGGTTTGCTGCTTTCCTTCACGCACAGGCTTGGAGGATCCCAGGTATCAAGCATGGAATGCTTTTGATGAAGACCTTAATTTAGAAAAACAGCCTGGTTATGAAGAGTTCATAAGAACTGGTTTAATATTAAGTACGTGTTGAAAATGTGTTGGAATCAGTGATGCTGATGTATTTCCCCATGTTTCTGCCCCGAGAGGTCAGTGGTGATGGGTGGTGATGGAGATGAGCGGTTGGGTGCTTGAGGGGCCACTGGGAGAGTCGATTTCCACTTACCTGACCTGGATAGCACACCGGATGGTAGGATGATCCTCAGGGTTTAATGAGTGGATAGTTAGCACTTTGCATTTTCAGTGTGCTTTACAAACATTAATTAATAATCTCACCGGAATGAGGGCAGCAACAGGGCTCCTGGCGTGCCCAATGGTGAGTGATGCTGGGGACAGCAGTGCCACCCAGCCCCGCCGGGCTGTGGTGATCTCTGTTGCACTCAGCATTCTCCTTAATACAGTGATATTTGGGGACTTGCACCAGGCTTATCATAGAATGGACTTAACGTACGGTTATGTCCTGATTTGAGGGGAGGGAGAAGGCACAAGGTACAGCAGTAGATCAAACATTTTAATTTTCAACTTGGCAGCTAATGGAAGAGAAGAAAGCTAATATGTGGCGAGCTGGCGGTGTGTGCGAGGAGGAGGAGGAGGTGTTATCACTTCTCCAGTGCCGGGCAGATCACACTTCAAGTCCAGAGTCCACCTTTTCTTAGTTTATTTGAAGATCGAGTTCAATCAGAGGGAGTACAGCTGAGGGCAGGGAGGAGGATTAATAGAAAAGAGATGTTCACCTACAGGGAGAAATTGATGAAATTTGGATTATTTATCCTGTGAGGTGATGATTAAGAAGTGACCTGATTGAAGTATTTAAACTAGCTGAAGGCTTATTTAAAGCTAAATTTGGATAGCTCTTTGAGGGCGCTGGAGAGCCCAGCATTAGGGGAGACGGGTTTAAATGAAGAGGGCATGCAGATTACGTAAGGGAAACCCAACGAGGTGTGATTTTGGGGAGGAAAGCATTTTTAGTGGAATAGTTTTCTCACAGTGGAGTAGCTAAGTCAAGCAGCATTAACTTTTTAAGCCAAAATTGAGTGTCTACAAGGAATTAAACCAAGTAAATCATTTTGAACTATTTTTGCTCTTCACCTTCTGCGGAGGTTAGGAAGAAACTTTTGCTCCTTTCTCTCAGGCTGAGAGATCGGGTGTGTTTCAGAGACAACCTCCGAGTTGCCCTGGGATGGAAGAGGGCAGATGCACCCCCAGAGCAGCTCCTCATGGGGGTCTGTGGTGTGCCGGTCTCCCTGGAGCGGGCGACCCTTCACTCAGCTCTTGCTGATGGGCCAGGACCCTCCGAACCCTGTTTTGGGGTCGGTGCCCCCATCCTTGAAACAAAAGCTGCCCGTGGGGTTTTGTCCGCAGACCGATCGCCTGGTTCGGATGAGATTCACGACCCAGTGCCCACGCATATGGCCTCGGAGGAGACAAACTACATCCTAGAGACGGTAGCAGGTACCAGAAATGAAGCATCCAGGAGACTGCGCGGGGGCATGGCAGTTAGCGTGTGTGTCAGAAACGAGTAAACCCCATTTAGGGGTTTACCCCAAAGCCAAGGTGATGGAGTCAGGACCCACTGCCGGAGTTGTGGCCTCAATTGGGCCATCTGGGAGCTCTGACAGACAAACTCTCATGGCTTTTCCAGCACCACTGGTCCTTCCCAGCCCCCCTCCAGCCCCAGCTTGCTGCAAAGCCTCTGCCCAGCTCATGACTGGGATTTACCCTGGGGCATTTGTGCCAACGCTGCAGCTGCCCTCACTCATGCCGAGTGCTGGGTCTTGCCTCTCCCAGGAGGACAATGCTGAAGGGTAGACAGACCTCTTGGATGCAGGTGATGGGTTTATTCCACTTGTGCAGCTCCTGATGTGATGCTGCCAGCCTGAGCCTGTGCTGGGATGCGTACTCAGAGCTTAGTGAGGGGAGAGGGAGGTTGGGTAACTGTGGCAGACCCGCAGCTCTCCTGCTCCTGTCTGGTCTGGTTTTGCTGGCACTGGCTGTGGTGAACCCTCCTCTTCCTCAGCAGGGACGGAGAAGGGGCCCAGCGAGGAGTCGCGACATGAAGAAAAGCAGATGGAGGGATCAGGTGAGTGTACGATGAACCCCGAACATCACCTGATCATTGCCCAGGGAAGCTGTGGCTGCCCCATCCCTGGGGGTGTTCAAGGCCAGGTTGGACGGGGCTTGGAGCAACCTGGGCTGGTGGGAGGTGGCCCTGCCCAGGGCAGGGGGGTGGGACTCGATGATCTTCAAGGTGCCTTCCAACCCAAACCATTCTATGATTCTATGATTGCAAGTTTTTGGAAGGATGGATGAACACAGATGTATTTTGGGTTGGGTTTCCTACCTTATCATTCAGCCTGGGAAAAGCTGGGTGCAGAAAAGCACAGCCATGTTCCTGGGCTCTCTCCTCCCGTCTCTTGCCCAGATTTACTTTTTCCCCTATTTTTTTTTCCTCCTTGCTACTAGCAGGGCTCTGTGGCAGGTGCATTGCTGCCCTTCCTTGCTTGGGGATGAGCTTGGAGGCAGCTGCCAGAGGACTGGAACCAATCTGGGAGGCATGAAGAGTGCATGGCCGGCTCTGCCGGAGGTCAGGGGCTGCTCAGCTGCACTGTGCGGTATTTGCCTCAGAGAATTTCTTTTTCTTTTTTTTTTTTTTTTTTGCAGATGGTATAGGGGACGTTTTAAGTCATTTGAGGAAACAGGTTGAAATTTTGTTCAACACGAGATATGGTAAGATGGTCATTAACACACGTTCATCATGCCAAGTGCCGGCCTCTGCCGTGGGGAGCTCCTAATTGCTCAAAAATGTCACCTACCATTTCCAAACCAGCAGCTGAGTAAAGGTGCAATCTAATTTGTTCATTTGCTGTCTGCTGGGCTTACAAATGCATTTGAAATCTCTCTGGGCCTTGTTATTGCAGCTCTTCCCCTTGGTTTCCTCGATGCCTTTTTGCTGGCTGCAGCCCAGGAATTGCTGCCATCACCTTCAGCCTTTCTGAGGGAATGACCAAAGTGTTTCTGCCCGTCACTTGTTTGAAATATCAGAGGGGGTCTTCCACCCAAGGGGTTCCTGGCGTGGCCCAGGAAGGCTGGTGGGACTCCGGTGCCAAAGGCTGGCACTCAGCATGCTCTGCTCACCCCTTTTTACGAAGATTATTTAACCCAGAAAAAATCCAAGTGAGGTCACATGTGCATTTTGAGAGCTGGCAGAAAGTTTTTGCCACTGGCCGGACCAGGAGACGTGGCTCTGCCTGGCAGTCCCCAAAATCTGGAGGCAGAGCTGAGCTGGGGCCCCTGGACTGCCAGAGCCCATCGTGACCGGGGGAAAGGAGACGGGCTGGGATGCTCTTGGGCAGGGTGAAGCGCTGGGGATGCAGCTGCTTTGACCCGACGTGGAGGTCCAGCAAACTAACCAGATTTGGTCCCCACGCAGCGAAAGCCATAGGAATATCAGAGCCGGTCAAAGTTCCCTACTCCAAGTTCCTGATGTATCCCGAGGACCTGTTTGTCGTGGGCTTGCCGGAGGGCATCCTGCTGCGGCGCCCCAACTGCTTCGGGATTGCCAAGCTGAAGAAGATCCTGCAAGCGAGCAATAACATCCAGTTTGTCATTAAAAGGTAAGGATGCGGAGCAGCCGTCCCTCATGGGGGATGTTCCTGCTCAGAGCTCTGGCTGCTGTGCTCCCAGTGTCCTGGGGAACATCCATCACTTGGTCACCTTCAATAAATTTGCTTGATTAGAAGCAACCAAGAGTTGTTGCCTTGTTGGAGCCATCCCTGAGAGGCAGCAGTGTTGTTGTTATCTCTCCTTCGATGTCTTTTGGGATTTTAACCCGCTTTTGCAAAGGTTTGGCCACAGCAGCAGGGAGCACCTGAGGGTGGGTGAGAGGAGCCAGAATCTTTAACTTTAACCTTCAGAGCGCTAAGGCCTGGGGGAAGGAGAGGTGCTGGGAGCCCCAGAGGCTTTTTTTATGGGAAGCGGCTCTGGCTGAGGTCCAGATGTGCACATCTGTGCCTCAGTGGGATGCTGTGGGCATCAGGGAAGATGCTGTCCTTGCGCTAGGGAGCAGGGAGGTGTCACCAGGAGCTGGGGGGCTGTGAGAAGCCACGACCAACATAACTCAACAGCATTGCTTTTTTTTGATGTCCCCATCCCACACACATTTCTCTGTAGCGCAGCTTCAGCACAGCTTGTAATGAGCCCTGCTATCACCTCGCTGTGCAGTTAGATACCCAAGTGACAATTTTTGGGGCCAATAGTATGTTGAAAGGAGCCGTGCATGTCTTCTCCCATTCCTGAGAAACGTGCAGGACCGTGTCTCCTAAAAGTCTGTAGCTGCTGAGTTAAGCTGCCCAGCCATCGCCAGCTTAACCTCATCCCAGGGAGCATCACGTCACTCACTAAAGAGTCTCAGCACGAAAATTACTTCCAAAGTTTCCCCGCTGTATTACAGGAGCTTTAAAATGGCATTAGGCAGAGGTGGTTAGTGGTTTGTGGCTGTAGGACTATTGTCCTCAGGGATGCTGGAGCAGTTGGGTGTCACTGGCCGGTGAGCTCACTCGTGCGTGCTTTGCTTCTTGCTGTTTTTCAGACCGGAGCTGCTGGCCGAGGGTGTGAAGGAGCCGACATCGGAGAGCCCGGCAGCCAAAGGTAGGCTGCGAGACGCCCGGCAGCCGGGCCGTTAAGGACTAGGTAGGAGAGGAGTGAGAGCGTTTTCCTACAGCGCGTCTCTTGCCTTCCCTCCCCACCTCGTTTTTTGGCTGGAAACCCCCTCTTGTGCATCCCCTTCGGCAGCATCGCAAATCCTAATTCCTCTTATGTCCCCTGTCTCAGCTGCCAGTGAGAGGGACTCAAGCGAGGCGCTGCTGGAGGATGCTGTGAAGAGACAGGGATTTCAAGGTAAGGGCCTGGAGGCATCTGCGGGGAGTTTGAAGCAAAGCCCCCGACCTGTTGTCGGGGCTGCATAGAGCAAAGCTGTGGGAAGGGAACGGCACGGGGTGTCAGGGCTCGGTGGGTGGGCAGAGGAACAGGGCAAAGCAAGGATGGGAGGGAGAGGAGAGGAGGTAGGGTGAAAGGATGGGAAGGACAGACAACCAGAAGACAAGACGTGCAGCCGGGGCGGGCGGTCCTGTAGATCCAAGGAAGAGGCTTGAAGCACTCTGGCTGGTGCCCTAATTAACCAGCTTTGCTTATCTCGCCGTCTGACCTTGTAAGATGCATAATTAAGTCTTGCAAGCCTCGGAGTTTGCCTTTTCTGGGACTTTTTCCACCTGGGTGATGGTTGTATAAACACTGCTCCCATCCAGCACGCGCCAGCAGCCAGCACAGTGGCTCCATCAGGGAAAGGAGCGATGGAGAGCAGCCTGGGGGCTGGGGAGGCGAGCACTGCCCTCCTTGAGCATCCCTTCTCCTCGGGCCGCGGGGGCCTGCAAGGCTTTGCAGAGGGGGACGGAGCCTTTTCAAAGGCTTTGGCTTTTCAGAGAGGTTTTGGAGTGTGTTTTATTTTAACGCTGGTAATTATTGCAACTGAATCTTCGATTTCATGCGGCTTTTATTCTTAGCAAACAGGCGGGGGAAAAAAAACATATTTCTGTTTAGATTATTTTTAAGGACTTTGAATGGGCCACTCCAGAGATTAGCTAATTGCAAGATAAGGACTTTCCTATAATTAGAAAATGGCATTACTTAAAAGTCACAGAGTGCCTTTTAATTTACCAGCAGAAGTCCATAATTGTTTCTTTATTTTACAGAAAATTATGATGCCAGGCTTTCCAGAATAGACATCGCTAACACGCTGCGGGAACAAGTCCAGGACCTGTTCAATAAGAAATACGGTGAGAAATCAGGGTGGGAGTTAGTTTTATTCCCCCTTATGCCTCCTGATTTTTTTTGCTCCCTATCCCTCCCCTTTCCTTCCGATTCCTCCTTGCCAGGTGCTTTCTCTTACCTCCCCCATGAGCGGCTGGCACCTCCCGGGGCCGGGGAGAGAACGGTGGGTCTGGGAATCGGTGCTCTTTGCTGCGTAGGCAGCTCCCGCGCAGCACGGGGAGCCCGTGATGAGGAGTGTGCCGCAGCCCTTCCCGCTGCCTGCCCTCCCTGCACACGGTTTGGTTTTTCTTTTAACCCCCCTCTCCGTGTCTCCGACAAACATCTTGAATTATATCCCAAAGCAAAGAGCAGTGGCTTTTCACCGCATGGGCATCATCTTACAGGACAGGGTTTCTCCTTGGCCCCACCAGTTCTGCTGGGTGCTCGTGGCTGCTTTGGGACCCTTCTTCTCCCAGCCTGAAAATGTGGGTCCTAATGCTCGAGGCGGTGCCTCGAGTGGCCTGCTCACGCTCTGCCGTCCTTTGGCCGGGGCTAGGGATGGCACCAGATCCGTGGTAGAAATGGCATCCCTGGTGTCCTGCTCGCTTACCGCTCGCTTCTCTCCCAGGTGAGGCCTTGGGGATTAAATACCCTGTGCAAGTGCCATACAAGCGGATCAAGAGCAATCCGGGGTCAGTGATTATAGAGGGGCTGCCCCCCGGGATCCCCTTCAGGAAGCCGTGCACCTTTGGCTCGCAGAACCTGGAGAGGATATTGGCCGTGGCCGATAAAATCAAGTTCACCGTGACGAGGTACGTGGCAAGAGGTGACAGCCACCCTGCCGGGCAGGACGGGGACAGGAGGGAGCTGACCTGAATGCACCCCGGACTCTGCCAGCTCCATCGGAGCAGGGCTGGAAACACTATAAATGCCTCCAGCCCCCAAGGCAGCAATTAAGCTGGCAGCTCATGGTTCGACAGAAAGGAGGAGACCATAAAATAGAGACTCCTGCTCTTTCCTCCTGTCCGCTGCCGGGGAGGTGGTGGGGAAGGCACCAGTGGGAGAAAACGTGGCGTTCGGTGCGATGGATACACAGGCAGAGAAATCCCAGCCCCTTTTCTAGAAGGCTTGAGACAGGAGAAACGTTGCTGGACTTATTGCTGGTGGAATGCAGTGCTCAGGGTCCCGCAGCACTCACAGATGTGTCAGGCACCGGCTGTTCCCAGGGGGTCCTGCAGGTTTTGCAGCCAAATGTGATGGACACAACTGAGGAGGAGAAAGACACTTTATCACTGTAACGTGAGGCAGGGGAAAAACAGGTTTTAAGAGTGGCTCCACACATGGCTCTTACTGGACCATGTTGTCTGGCTTCTTACCGACATGGCACATGCTGCCTGAGCAGGGCGTGTGTCCCCAGGGACTGCAGGGACCCCGTCCCCACAGAGCTCCTGCCGGTCCCACACGAGTCATGGCACAGCATGCGAGGGACCGGGTGATCCCTAACCCTCCTTGGGCTGCGGGAGGATGCTTGGTCCAGGCGTGTTGGCTTCCCAGTGGCATTTCATTTTAAATCTCTTTTTTTCCTTATTTTTTACAGGCCTTTTCAAGGACTCATCCCCAAACCTGGTAAGTGATGATGCCTTTTTGCCTAAGCAATGTGTTGGCCGAGTGTTTAGTGGTGGTCAGGGAGTCGTAAGGTGTGGATGGTGAGCAATAATTTTATCAGCTGGAGGAAGGTTGCCCCGACCTCACTTTCCTGGGTTCCCACTTTGGTTTCGGTATTGTTTGGTGCACTGGCTGAAGTTCCCCTGACTGAGACAGCCGGCCTCAGCATCACCCATCCATACTGCTGCTGTTGCCTTGAAATGACGGCATTTTTCAAGAGCTAATCTAGGGCAGGGATCTGCGTTCTGTATTTAAGAAAGCACTCGCTTCCTTAAGCGTTTTCTTAAAATAAATAAGGGCTGCAATGAGCTGGCAGGTTCAGTGGCGAGGGAGGGTCATGGTGAGGGGGTGATTAACCACAGGGTCCGCATCGGGCTGTAGCAGGGTGGCAGTGAAAGCCCTCGCTGGCTCTTGGGCATCCCGCGTATGGAAACACCAGGGGAGAGGGGAGGATGGGGTGTCCCGGGTGCGCTCCGTACTCAGCTGCAGAAATCACCACCCCGGAGCTGCGTCCTTCCCCATGCATCGCTGTGGTAGCTCTGTCTCTCACTTCTGGGCTGTCCAGAAAAGAGAGCTGCTGTCAGAAACGCGGGTAAAAACCTGTCTCAGTTTTAAATGTCTCTAATTACAACTGTTGGAAGAGCACAGATGGGTGCAAAAAGCGTTGTCGTCTTTATTGATGGCTTCTCATTTCCTTGGCCAGCCTCCATGGGGATGGCACAATTTAGGGAAGACAGATATGATCGAGACAAAAACATTTATATGCCCTTATTGGGAACAGCAAAAAGGTGTTAGACACCCGAGAGGGCTCTAGCAAAAGGCGAACTGTCTGAGAAATTCAATCCAGAGCATAGACTGAGTGTCAGCCCTCTGCATCCTTGTTTATGGCCCAGCCAAGTCGGTGGGGAGGTCCCCCGAGACCTCCGTGCACCTTGGATTTAGACTTCTTGTCTTCCAGTCCTAACCAGCAAGGTGCGGGCTTGCATCAGTTGGACCTTAAACGAGCCCTCTGGGAAATGCAAGTTTCGCAGAACTCTGGTTTTCTGTGGAATTACATGGCTGTAACGCTGGAGTGAGCCGAGGATGTATCCTCTCCTCCAGCCGCATCTTGTCTTCCCGTTCCTCTCTGTAATCGGTATAATTACGTTAAGAGACGCTGATCTGACACAAATCACACCATTAACAAAGGAGCACATCAGAAGGCAAATACTTCAACCTGCCAGCTGGCTTGGAAACACAGCCTGATAGATAGAGATGTAGAGGAAATTGATTTTCTTTTCGATGCACAACATTTTTTTTTCCTTCTCCAGCTGAACGCTCCCACCATGGGCTAGCCCATGCTAGCACAAACCCAAAGACATATTTTATTCTGTGTATTGTGGTACCCGAGCAGGCTCGGGAGGAGTTCGCAGCATCCCTGCTGGGCTCAGGGCTTCGCACCTTCTCCTCCCACGGGGGTTTTAAATAAGAGCGGTTTTTGCAGGTGAGGGGTTTTTCTTGCTTGACGTCTCAATTTGTTATAGACCCTTTCATATATTTGCTAAATCTTTGGAGACAATTCCAGGACTTATAATTATTTTCTAGTATTCAGACTACCACTGGAACATCTCCTTGAGAAAAAAGCTGTTTGTATTTTGTCCCCCCCCCAAAATCCCCATTGACAGCAATTAACCTCGTGTCTGCTTTTCCACCCCATTACACCAAAGTGGATGGTGGCAACACAGTGGTACGTTCGCTGCCTTGGCTTTGATCGCTTTTCATCTGCCTTAACAAAATTCATGATTGCCAACTAGTCATAGAACATTAAAAATTTAAATTTAAGAGTGTTCTCTTTACCTCAATCTTGTATAGTAAAGTCCTGCCACGTAAAATGAAGAGCAGCAGCAGAAGCGCGTGCTTGGCGTTAAAACAAAATCAATGAAAATCACTCTTATTTCGCAGAGGAGCGTTAAAATGAAAGCAATAGTTACTCCCAAGCAGGATGACATTGCAAAGGTGTCTAAAAGCTGGAAAGCCCAGGAGATGACTGTATGAATATGAGGGAAGTTACGGTTTTTGTGGATCATTTTGGCTAAAAATTACATGAAAAGTACACGTTTTAAGGGAAAGGGGAAATTTAGCATTTATTTTCTAAAAAAAATCACTTTGGAGTGAATTGAGTTGCCTTTAGGTTAAATTCCAGTGTTTAATTTGCTTTAAACAAGTTGCGCGTCTCCTGCATTGCAAAGAGCATCCCAGATACCTGCAGGACCGGGGAAGGGCTGCCCTCCTTATCTCTCTCTTGTGGGGACACCCGTTTTTTTAAGTGCGACAGAAACAGATAAAAGGATTTCAATATCATCTGAGCGCTTCGCACGCTTTTTTCTCAACATAATCTGCAATTTCTCTGTTGAGATGGTATCTCCCCCTAATGTGTCGCAGTGGGGGGGTGAGGCGGCTGGGGGGTGCGTGCCTGCAGGGATGCTGTTTGCAGAAGGTGTTTACTGGGGGGGAATAAGGCTGTTTTTAGAAAAAGAAAAAAAAAAAAAAAAAGCCAGCGGTGCTGCCCAGCTCCCGGAGGAGGTCAGTGGCTGCAGTCGCCTTCTGCAGTACGGATTTGCAGCTGCTTTCGAAGGTGGGACGATGGCCCCGAGGTCACCGGTGCCTCTGCCATCGCTGTACCCGCGTGGGCCCCCGGGGGCTTTGACCCAGTGCACAACCCTCCTGGCATCCAGAGATTTTCCTTTTGATTTCCAATTTCTTTTTTCCCCCACCGCTGGTCTCTGCTCTGCAAAAAAAAGACCTTCAAAACCCCTTTTTGAAAGCAGAACGATCTCTCGGCATTAAAACACAAGTGGGAGAGCAGGGGTGAAGCTCCAGCGCTATAAACACAGCACTTATCCTTTCTTTTCTTCTTTCCTGAGGCACAGAGATACAAAACAGGCTTAATTTGAGCCTTTGAAAAAAAAAAAAAGTAAAAAAATCAAGCATAAGTAATCTAGTGCACACACAAAAAATCTTTCTGTATGTTAATTTTTATGTGCTTTGATTGAAAATGTACACCAGCTCCATCTGTCCTATTCCCCAAACTCTCTACCACCCTGATAGATTATTTCCCATACTCCAATTAATAAAGTAGGGCAGGCAGTGTTCTTTAATTAAAAAAAACACACATCCAGGCATCCTTTTTTTATATTTTTTCTTTTTTTAATCACGAGAGCACAATCCTCCTCTAGACTTTGATGAGATGTGCCTCACGTTGGAAACTCTTAGCAAGAAAAAAAGAGAAGAGGAAAGCACTTGATGGAGCGGTGATGGGAGCAGAGTGCATCTAGCTCCATCACCAGGTTGCTTTTTGAGGTCCATGCCCCTCTCCCTTCACGCCCCAGCCCTGATGTTTAACCCCCACAGGAGCAGCCGGCTTGTTTTTCCTTCTGATCTGCTTTCCTGCTATCTGGAGTGAATTATTTTTTAGTGCTCAGCTGGTTAGTGTTTCTAGTGTGAAGGTGGAGATTCAAGCAGGTAGTGCGAGTTGCTGTGGCGCTTCAAAGCCTGTTTTTAAGAACCTCTGCTATTTCAATCACCTTTTTCTTTGCCTCATTTTGTCTCCTTTCCTGCATGCGTGGCATCCTCGCGCCGATGGAAAGGCAGCGCCATTGTCCAGCTCATCCCAGCCCTCGTGTTTGCTTTGCTGTTGCCTCCCTCCCACTCCCCACCAGCCTCGTATCCTGACATGTCCTTCAGAGACCCCAAACCCCCCTTTTTTCAGGGTGCTCATCAAGACGGGTGCAGCTGCATCCTGGCTGTGGTCCGGCACTTAGTGCTGTGCTCCGTGCCGTGCAGCGCAGCGGCCGTGAGCCTGGTGGGATGCTGGTTAAAGCTGAGCGGCTCATGTGGGTTACCAGGACAAGAAATTTTAATTATCTTTCTTAATCAGTGTGATTTCGTAACGGCACCTTGAAATCTTCACCTGAAATGCTGCAAATGCTGCCAACCAAATGAAATGCCGTGCTGCCCTTCTTAAACCACCTCTGATTCCCATTGGAAAGGTGCTGCTGTGTGCTTCTCTTCCTCGCTGCCTGCCTGCGCTCCTGCCTGTGCTCCTGCCTGCATTCCTCCTTGACGGGAGCTATGCCAGGACCTTGTTCCCTCTTGGCTTGGACTCTAGCTTGGCTTTCCCTGCATCAGGGGGACCCATCTGCATCTCTTCCCCTTTGCATTGCGTATGCGCTGCCCGCAGGGTGTCCACAGGGGCAGGGTGTCACCCAGCGATTCAGGGGACCGGGTGATGGGCAGCATCGCTTTTTTTCTGGCTGGGTCCTGCTGCGTGGCAGCGAGCGGCCGTGCTGCAGCCGCCAGCCCCTTACGGCAGGATTTGTCCACCTACAGCCCAGGCGGCGCAGGGTTCGGCTCAGCGCCCCGGTCTGCACCGAAACCCCATGTTTTTCTGTTCCTTTGGTGCCGCTCAACTGAAGGGCTGCGACAGCTGCTTTCCTGAGCCTGCTTGAAATCTTTGGCGCATCGTTTGAGCTACTTCAAATTGCTCGTATCTCCGCTCAGCAAATTTGGACACGCACCCCTGCTCTCTCCCCTCATCCCCTCCAGTTTGCCGGTGGCCGTGTGCTGCAATTTGGCAGCAAGTGCCTTCCCGGTACTGCGACTCACAGCCCCCATCCCCCCCACCAGCTCTCCCCGTGGCTGCCGGCTTCAGCGCGATGAGCCGCTTCATTCCTCCTTTTGCCCGTCATAGAAATCCTGGCCCTAACCCCATTGCTGCTGCTTTTCCCCAGGAAATTCATTTCTTTTTGATATCGCTCGTCACTTCAGAGTTGGTGGCGAGCACCAGCCTCTCCTTAGGGATCTCTTTTTCTCCTGTTCCCTCCCGTTGCTGCAGAACTGACACAGTTTCCCTGTTTGCTTTTCATCTGCTTTAACCTCAGATAATTTTTTTTTTCCTCCTCCGGCGCGGCCGTGCAGCACAACCGCTGCGGCTTTGGCACGTGTGTGCCGCATGTCCCTGGGCACGTGTGGACCTCGAGCTGCTTAGGCATGCGGCGTAGCTCAAGGGATGCTCGTGGGCTCCAGCACATCCCAAACCGGGTCCCTGGTGTACGGTGGAGAGCCCAGCACAGCCCGCCCGGCTCACCGGGCAGTTATTTAGCTACTGAAAGCATCTCTGTGCCAAGGGGCCTCGGGACCGGAGGAATTTTAAGCTGCTAGGGACTGTCATCCTGGGTTTTGCTTTTGTTTGTGACCAAGAAACCAAGCTGCGGCACTCATGGCTCTCTTTTTCTTTCTCTCTCTTTTTTTTTTTTTGTCTTCTTTTAACTTGCGCTGTAGCCCCTAGACGGATAACATCATTGGAAAAAGCCTACGCTGCCTTGAATGGTACGTAGCTCAATTGATGCATCGTAGATGGTAGCAGACAAGAAATGCACTTGTGTTTTAATATGGGAATGAAAATGTCTTAAACCCCCAAATTTCAGGTATTTTTTTTTCCCTCTCTGCTGTTTCCCTGTGATACCAAGAACTGAATTATGCAGAATGTGTTTAACAGTATTTTATTGTTGTTATTAATCCTCTCTGCATTTCTAAGCACTGTGGCTGCGGTCCTTGGGCAGAGGTGCCGGTTCTGCTCCAGACGAACCAACCTGCCACCTTATCCTCAGCTCATCCATGTGTCCAAGCAATTAATTTGTTAAAAAAAAATCCACTCGCCATTCACAAGGAGAGCTTGCACGGACTTGGGTTGGGATTTTTTTTTTTTTCGCTTTGCTTTAACACATACTCTGCGCCAGAGCTGGCGTGCAGTTGTGTAGGCTCCGGGGATTTAACATATATACTAATTTACCGGAGTAAAGAAGAGCTCTCCTGCCTGTATCCATGATAGGGCATGGCGTATCTCCAGCAGATGCAGCCTTAGTCCCATCAGCTGGGATTCTGGCCGCATGTCGAGCTGTTAATTGCCTGCTCCCGCAAGCTTGTAGCTCTGCTTTGAAAACATGCATATGTTGAGCTAATTCGAACTGTATTTAAACCTGAGTGACTGTGGAATAGCCTCAGCCGTCAGCGGGTTTATTCCCGGTTCGCACAGGGGTGTAACTGAATTGCAGCCAGTGAAGTTGGAAGGGGGAAGAGGTGTGTGGTTATCCTCTGAAGGTTCAGGGTCAGATCCTGAGGGCTGTAAGCAGCCTACCCCAGTTGGGTGTTTCTGGGACACAACTGGGATTGCCTGAAGAAGGGACCTGAGCTGCTTTCCCGGTGGGGCGTGTTGGGCAGTGGCTGTTTCCCTGATGAAACAGCCTTCACGCTGGGGGTTTGGCTAACGGGAGAGCGTTACTCCGAGCGCGGTGGCTGGGCGGAGGATGTGCATGACCTGGAGCAGCACCCCAGGGATGCCGGCGGGGGCACGGGGAGGAGGAAGGCTTTGCCAGGTACCCTGCCCGGACGTGCCACGACTCCACCGCTGAGATCAGGGCTGTGCACGTGGCATCGCAAACCCAGACAGAACCATTATTGGTCCATGGGATATTTTGGATTTGGTTTTGTTGTGGTTTTTTAAAGTCAGTAAAAGAACAGGCGCTGTTTCGAATCCTGTTGTCCAACAGCAGACACCTAAACCCCATTTTTAATAACTACTAAATATGACTTGGTGTTTCTAAAAGAAATGTTGAGCTCTGACAAGTCCTATTGGAAAAGAGGAAATGGTGCTTTAAAAATGGGACCTCTCGTATGTGAGCGCCTATGGAGTGCAGGTGTCCTAGCTTCAGGCAAGTAGGATTGGGAAAAAAACAAGTCAATCAACTGGCTACTTTTTTTAATTAAAACAAAAAAAAAGATAACGCTGAGCTGAACCCAGCAGCATGCATCAACCTGCTCTATGGGAAGGACTCAGCACATTCCAGAGGTGCCAGTGGCTTCCTTGAGTTGATTATTTCCCAAAGCCAAATGGATAAAGTCAAAGGTAGATGGAGGTCCCTCTTGGGGATGGAGGGGCATGTTCCCAGGAAGCAGTGCCACCGGCTGGAGCCTCCTCTCTGGCTTCTCTGTTATGCTTGCTCAGTACCGGGGTTTTCACGGCGTTTGAGTCCTTGGATGGGAATTGGGGAGTCCTGCCCACCACAAGGTGGAAGAACATCCCCTTGGGATCTTGTTTCTTGCGCTTGGGTTGCTCGGGGCATGAGCGGAAACGAAAGAGCTACTGCGTTTTTCAGTCCCAGAGAATGAAATGAGTGAGAGCACTTAATTTGGGTGTTTCTTTGTCTGCTACCATCTACACATCCATACGGGTGTATATATACAGCCCAGAAACTGAGCATCAATGACAAGGAAGTCACAGAGGGAGCCCGCAGGCTTTGCCTCCGCCGGCCTGCTGTGGCCTCAGGAGCGGCACCGCAAGGCAAGGTCTTGGTTCTTGAAATCAGAGCTCCTTGGCGACATTTATTTGATTTTCTTCTATTTTATTTATTTTTTGCTCCATCCCTTTCAAGCTGCTTTGTTGCCATTTCTAGATTTGAAGCATGACTTGGCCCAGAGGTTCCTTTGCAGAACTTCTCCCTTCTTTTTTTTTCCCCCCCTAGTTATATCCAGACAAAACTATTGTTTTCCATGGGGAGAAGAGGTTTTGGAGGCCACACCCTGCAGTAGAAGGGTGTGGAGATTTAAGGGTGCCAGCGCCTCCCCAGGACCCTCAGCAGCGGGGTGGCCGAGGCGTGTGATTTCTGCTGGGGGTGCTGAGCGCTGGGCTCCGGGGTCCCGTGCAGGGAGGCAGGGACTCACCTCGGGTTTTCAGCTTGCGTTTAAAACAAAATTGCAAGCCATGTGATTGCTTAAAACCAAAATCAAAATCGTGTGATTGCTCAAAATCAGAGTCAAATATCACGTGATTGCTCAAAATCAAACTAAATAGCTGCAGACCTGGGGCAGAGGATGCTCGGGTCCCTCATGTTGAGGTTTGCAGCGCTCACCTTGATGTTTTAAATAACCATCCTGGATTTCCACCCCGTGGCGTGCCAGCCTGGGTGAAAATGCCTGCCTTGGGCGCAGCAAGGCTGGTGGTGGTGATGCCTCCTCTCCAGGGGGAGACTCCACTGGGGTCTGTGCACCCCAGCTGGCTCGGGGCCGGAGGGGTGACCCCGTTGAGAGGCGGATGAGGTTCATTCAATTGGTGCTTTATACCTGCGGGGTGAAAAAGCATCAAAGGGGGCCGGTACTGACCCCAGTTGTTTTTCCTGGAGCTCCCTGAGGATGCTGAATAGCTGGGGGAAAAATCTACCGCCATAGGCACGTCATTTGAAATGAGAGAACGGAGGAGAAACTGTTTGGCACGGTGAGGATAATTAAAAAAGCTAGCAAAGCCAAGCTGATTATATGGCATATTGTAAAACAATACTGTACTTAGGAGCCCAGCTATAAAAGTGCTATCTCATTCCTTGATGTCACTTGTGGGAGCATTCGTGGCACCGAGGGCCTGAGTCTCCATTGCTCTGCATATTTTGCAGTCATTTACAGCACCGCAAAGTGGATGTAAAATGCTCTCAGCCGTGGCAGCGTGTGGCAAATGCAGATTTGGCAGCATTTTATAGTTACTTTGCACGGCTCTAAAAGGTGACGCAAGGTGCAAGTGCAGAGCAGTCGCCTCCGAGGTGTCCCCGCGCTGCGCTAGGGCAGAGGGACAGAGGCACGGTCGTGCTTTGTGACAGTGGGATGGGTTTTCCAGGGGCTGAGAAAGAAACGGGGTGTTTTATTCCCTGTCCTTTTTTGCTTTGCAGATGAGGACGATGCCAACAGGCTCGGGGAGAAGGTGATTCTCCGAGAGCAAGTGAAAGAGCTTTTCAATGAAAAATACGGTGAGTCTCCCATCTGCACGCATCGTCAAGCGGGTTTGTTTTTGCTGACAGCAGCCATAGTTAAAATTAATTCGACTGAAGGCCTCTATTTATAGGCCAAGCGCACAGCAGCCTGCTGCAGCGCAGGTTTCGTCCCACTGCTTCCCATTACAGCCCGTCCCCGGGGACGTTCCCGAGTCCCGCTCCCGGCAGGTGGGACCGTGACCTTCTTGTTGACAGCTCCTTCTTGGCGAGGGAAGGGAGGATGCAAAAACGCAGCTGAGGAGCGGGATTTGTTCAGTCTGGTGTCAGCCTTTGATGTGTTTTTAACGTGTCCTGAGCCGGCGCGCGCGCTGAGCATGCCTGCCCTGCGCCTGCCTGCTGGCAGGCAGCCCCTGCCCGCTCTGCCTGCGGGGTTGGGAGCAAGGCTGGAGCCGCAGCCCGGCACGGGGCATGGCTGGGGAAAAGCTCGCTGGAAAAGGAGGTCAGGAGACTGGAGAAGATCTAAAAATGCCAATTGCAGGCTCCTCGTGCTGCTGAGCAAACCCCTCCTTCTACCCGGCGTTGGGAAAAGGCGCAGGAGGAAGAGCAGCTGGGTGGGGGAGCGGAGGAGCCGGCCGCAGGACGCACGGCCCCGAGCGGCGTCACCCTCTCAGCCCCGTGGGTACAGGCTGCCGCTGCTCGTGGCTGTCCCCGTTTGGGCATGACTTGTGTAAGTGCTGGGCGCTTATTTGTCAACCCTTGAGACCCCAGGGCTGCGCAGCTGGGCCGCGGTGGCTCGGTGGCACCCCACTGTTTGCTGCGGCGTCTCATCTCTCTCCCCAAAATCATTGCCTGAAGGAGAAGGAAAATAGCCAAAATGATAGCAAAGCAGCAGGGAATGTCATTGCCCTCCTTTCTCACTTTTCCCCTTGTCAAGGCTGCTCATCCTTCCCGCAAACCCGGTTTGTTTTGGGGTGCTGCTCGCAGCATGGGCTGCTCTGGGGGTGGATTTGCCCCCTTGGAGGTGCCAGCGGTTGGGCGCAGCTCCCCAGGGAGGCTGGTACCATGCTCTGAGCATCCCCATCCACCCTGGCTCAGCAGCACTTGGCCCATGGAGGGGCTGAGCCTACAGCAGATCCCCTCGTTCCCATGGTCCAGGCACAGTTTCTGGAGCATAAGCCGCCAGGTGGGCTGCAGGGACAAACTCCCTGCCAGGAAAGCCAGGAACGTGCCTGAGGGGCCGCTCACACCTCCAGGTTTGGAGGTTGCAGAGACACCAGGCAAGAGCGGGCTCTTGGAGTCAGGACCAGCACAGGTGAGGGACATTCGCTGCTCCCCCTGGTGCAGGAACGAAAAGGGTACTCAGAGAGATGGGCAGCAGGTTTAAATCGTGCAGAAGGAAGTGCTTTTAATGCAGCAAGGAATGAAATTGTGGTATTTCCCTGCCATAGGGTGTTGTGGAGGCCAAAGGGATACAGTGATGCAAAAAATGGGCAGGAGCGATGTGACGATGAGTGATGGATGTGATCTCCACCCCAGTGACCCCCAAGCCTGCTGACAGCTGGAGGCAAGAGATGGACAAATCTCTCCCGATTTTCCCCTCTCCTGGGCTGTCTCCCACACTGCTGCTGCTGGCCCAGCCGCCGGCTGGTGCCATGGGTGTCCTCTGCACGGAGCAGAGCTGGGTTTGCAAGTGCTGGTGCTGTAAAACAGCCCTCCCCTGAGGCTCCTGGCAGGATGCTAAATGGAGACTAACAGAGCAGGCAATAAACCAGGCAGGCAGACGTGGACCAGCTGGGTGGGACGTGGCTGCAGCAAAGGTTGGGCATGATGGCAGCCATGGCTGCCCAAAGTCCTCCCACGGCTCTTGGTCCTTCGGTAGGTTGGATCTGAAGCACTGTGGGGTAAAGCTGGTGTGTTGTCCTCTGCTCTGCTGTTACAGGAGAGGCTCTGGGCTTGAACCGGCCCGTCATGGTGCCCTATAAGCTCATCAGGGACAGTCCTGACGCGGTGGAGGTTACCGGGTTGCCGGACGATATCCCTTTCAGAAACCCCAATACCTACGACATCCATCGGCTGGAGAAGATCCTGAAGGCGCGGGAGAGCATCCGGATGGTGATTATAAACCAGCTCCAGTAAGTTCCCCCAGCTCTGTGACTGGGGAATGTTTCTGTTCATTAAGCGTTGCCCTTGTTTCTCCAGCCGCGAGTGGGGTAAGTCACTGCAGGGCCCCCAGAGCGGGGCCATGCCACCGCATACCCATGGAGGACCCGCTCCATCCCCAGCATCCGTTGTCCTGCACTGCAGGGACACGCTCGGCCACGGGTGGGCACAGGGGAGCGTTAGCAGGGATGGTTTATTCCCTCTTGTATAGTTTGAGGTGATGACGCTGGGAAGGAGCACGGTGCAGGGGCAGATAACAGGACAGCTCAGAGACCCGGCTGAGTTATTTTGGGTTGCTCTCCTCTGGGGAGCGGTGGGGAGGCTCTGTGTCCCATGCCCACGCTGTGGGGTGTCAGAGGAGGCAGCTCGGGGTCGGGGTTCGGGCTGCGTCCCGGCGTGGACAGGCGCGTAGGGGAGAAATGACGGCGTCCGCCTGCTCTCACCCCCTTGTCTCTTACACAGGCCGTTTGCCGAAATCTGCACTGAGGCCAAACAAACAGGTAAGCGGAGGGCTAAGAAATAATCGTGGTTTTCCCTGCCCTGTGGCAGAGAGAATACATGGGTAAAACAGATGGAGACAGGGGGAGGCGTTCGAACCTCCTGCATCCCCAGTGGAGGCTGGGGAGAAGATCCTACCTGGAAAAAGAAAAGTTAGGCTCAGCATCTGTTCAGGAGCAAACCATCCTCTCAGAATGACTGCACTTCTGTGAGCTGGGGACAGACAGGGCTTAGATTCAAACTTTCAGCATATTCTGGAGGATTTGATTATCCCTTTCCCATTAGCAATTTACTCACCATGAGCAATTTATTCACTGGTTAAAGCCCTTAATTTGAGCCATCGTTTAGCAGTTGAGCTTCTAAGGAAACAAGGTTTCTGTGATCACTGCAAATGCGTTTCTCTCTCTGTCCCATCCTCCCCAATAAATCTCAGCCAGTTTTAATCAAATGTGTCAGAATTAGCAGCCCCAGAGATAATTAGGAACCTATTAGATTTATGAAAATAGGTGGCTAGGTAGAGGAGAGAGATCTGGCAAGCAAGAGCATCCCTGCAACCTGACGTAAAAGGAGATGCACGAGAAACTTTATATATGCAGATATATATGGATATATCGTATATGCAGAGAGATATATATGGACATTATCATCATCACAGCTGGCACCTTCACAGCCCCAAAGCATCCAGCACGGACACAAGTCTGTGGGATATCAGGCTCTGTAAGCGCTGGAGTTTGGGGTTTGTTTATTTTGGGGGATTTTCTTCACCGGTGCCTGAGGAAAGCTGGCAGCTCCGTGCCAGGTGCTGGAGGCCAAGCCCGTGTCACCAACGGTGGCACAGCGGGTTGCCGCAGGGGGATGCTCAGCAGGAGGAGAGGTTGGGGCGGCGGGATGGGCCAGTCACAGGGCTTGGACACCTCATGCCTTCCCTCTCTCCCTGCAGAGAAAGACACCAGCGTTCCCAAACGGAAGCGGAAGAGGATCTCCGAAGGGAACTCGGTATCTTCCTCTTCCTCATCTTCCTCTTCCTCCTCTTCCAATATGGAGTCTACATCATCAACAAATCAGATCTCACTTGTGGTAAAGCCTTCCAAATATTAGGGGGGTTACTGCCTACCTATCTTTCCGCTTCAGGATGCTGCTCTCTGCTCTCCTTGAACCATCACCACCTCCCTCCGCCTGACAAACACTATAAAGTGTGACATAAAATGGCACAAGCAGGTTTGGCAAAGGAGGGGACGCAGTTTTGGGGCTCCCTTTTCCTGCCGTCTTTGTTTGGGGAGGGGGTCAGCGGGGCAAAGTTCCCGCTGCCCCTCAGGGCTCTCCCGCATCAATCCTGCCGAGTACCTCGGGGCGATGCTCAGCGTTGGCGGGAGCCGCATGTGAGACGGGCTCGAGCAAATCCCGCGACCCCACTGGGTTAAAACACCGGTGCTGGGCAGCGCCTCAGCCCCATGGCGCCTCTCGGCAGGACCCGGTGGTTCCCTCGTGGTCTGAGCTGTGCCGGGAGCATCACTCCAGCTCCGTCCCGGGAGCAATACAGAGCTCCGGCATGCAGCGAAACTGCGAAAATAGGAAATGAAATCCGGGAGATGCGTCCAACTGTGCTCCCTCAGGGCTTGGCTTCAGTTGTGGACCACACCAAATGCTTTTAAAAAATAATTAAAAAAAAAAAAAAGCACAACAGAAATATAAACTTAGAAGGTTTTTTTTTGTCAGGTTTGCCAGTGGTGTTTTGGTTTGGGGTTGGTTCTTTTATCTTATTTGGAAAGTGGGAGCAACAGCCCGTGTCGCAACATGTCAGAGATTTGATGTATGCATGGTTTTGTGTTGTGTCCTAACAGAGACTTTTGCCTTCTTTTTCTCTCCCTCTCTTTCAGCAATGGCCCATGAACATGTACATGTTAGACTATGGTGGTCTAAACGTCCAGATCCCAGGACCTATTAACTATTAGACCTCAATACCGAATAAGAACCTCAAATGAAAGAATAAATAAATAAATAAATGTAATTTATGTAAAAAGTGTATATTCCAATATGTATCAATGCCTTTTAGTTTTTCCAATGATTTTTACACTATATTCCTGCCATCAAGGCCTTTTTAAATAAAAATAAAAAGTGTTGCCTTGCTCTTAAAAGTACTTATTTTATTACGTATGTTATTGATAAATAGCATTTATAGGTAGGAGTAAGCGCAGGAGGACCTCCCCCGGACAGACCTTGTCATGCTTTAGCCGCTCAATAAAATCCTTAGTGTCCCCAGTGCTTGAAACCAAGAGGTCTGACACATTTTAATGCTTCATTTGCCACTGATGTCTTCGATTTAGATCAAAGGTGTGAAAATTCACTTGCAGAGCTGCAGGAGCAGTGGTACCAAACTGCAGCGCTGTGACAGACGAGGGAACCAGTCCTTACGAGCATCAGAGACCGGCGCCCTCGAGTCCTGTTTGCTCTGGAGCAGGAGCAGGTTTGGATTAAGTGGGAAGGTGGTTTCAGGCTCCCCAAGGAGCGAGACCCCCCAGGCCCTCTCGTGTCCGTCCTTCTGCCGCTCCAGACTTGGAAAGGCACAGAAGTAATTTCGGTTGCGTGCGTTTAACCAGCTTCTGAACCAGGAAAAGCTTTTAATTTGGTCACATTCTTTATTATTTATGATTTTCTAAGAGGCTTTGATGCCCTCTGGGGGGAGAAGCTCCCACAGTAAGTACAGGCTGATCCCGCTGATGCTCCACAGGTTCCATAATGCTGGACCAGGAGCTGCGAGTGGCATTGCTGAGAGCGTCCAGGGGAACCCTGGGCTACTTTGCCCTGTATGAGAAGCAACCCCGTGAACTGAGGGATGTTCTTTGAAATTCCTGCAATTTTACTTCCATTTCACTGGTGGAGTTTGGCAGCAGAAGCTAATGGCACCGACCGCTATTACTAACCACCGCGCGTATTTAACTTGTGCTTTGTGTCTGCTGAGAGCCATGCGTGGACGAGACGTGGTGGGAGCGAATGCCGGCGTGAGGGCGGCGTGAGAAGCCAACGAGAAGAAACATCCCGGGTTGTGTGTAGGTAGAGGCAGCCCAGCACGAGCCACCGGCGAAGCGAGATGCCACAAGCGAGGGCTTGTGGCTTTGGTGTCGTCCCAAGCAGCAACGTGCAGTGTCACTGTAGGGTGGCCGTTGCTGGGCGTCCCTCCGGGCTGCAGGAAGGTCACAGCCTTTTCACCGAACAAACCTGCCCCAAAAGCAGCGGCCGCGGTCTGCCGGAGGGTGGATGGTAGCAGACGCAGGATCGAAGCCACTTGTGACAGCTTTTCCAAGTGTAATGCGCCGCTTTATTTGTTTCATGGGATTTCAATCCGCTCGAATGCTGGTCTTTTCAGGCCACCGGAGGGGTTTGATGGCGAGTAGAAGTGTTTCAAGGCAGCTGCAGTTTTATTTTCTGGCTCTGGACTTGCATTTGCTGTGGAGTTAGATGCAAATGATCACATGAGATAATAAAAGCCCAAACAAATGTAGGAGACGGCACAAAGACAGCAGCCAAAAGAAGGGCAAAGATCTGTATCAGTGACCCCAATTAGAGATGCAGTTTGACATCTGAGCAGTTGGCATCGAAATCTGAAGTCTTTCATGTTTCTGCCTGATGCTCAAACCTGTGGTGTCTCCAATTAGGAAACAAAGAAACACGATTCTGAGGTAAAAATACAATTTTCTCTTCCAAAATGTCTGAAAGGGGCTTATTCACAGATCAAACCCCACCGAGTAGGTGTCTCCGAAGAGGGCACGCTCATTATATTTTGACTTTTCCTTTTTTTTTTTTTCCCCTGTTAAAAAAAAAAAAAAGGTCTGATGCTGTAGCACCGAAGGCAGTGGCGCGGTTCGGTAATGAGTGGAGATGTTTGAGGCTGCCCCGGGTCTGCTGGCGGTCCCGGCACCCCGCGAAGGCGCCGGCGGCAGGGGGGAGGCTGTGCGCAGGGTGTAGGTCTGGAGCGCTGCGCCCTGCGCGGGGCCCTAATTACTGCGGCTGAAAGGCAGGGCTGAACGCAGGCAGTGGAGTTTAAATTAGGGCATGGGAGCTACGCTGGGGACTAATGATTTAGTTCAGCAAGCTGAATGCAATGGTAAAGGCTGTAAATGGAGGGGGGTGGGAGTGGAAGCTGAGCAAGGAGGCAGCGTAGGGCTGTTGTCCCGCTCTGCCTCTTCCCTCTCGCGCCGCCGGCGTCCCCGGCTCGCAGCCCAGTTAGCAAACGGGGCAGGGGAAGGCTGGCTGTGCCGCGACGGCACGGGCTGAGCCAAAGCTCTGGGCTCAGGTTTTCTTCCCCAAGTTTCTGGATCGGTTACGGGGAGCTCTGTGCGCCCCCAGACCCCGCGCGGCGAAGGGCAGCTCGTGCCCTGCCTGGGCTCCGCGGCTGCCTGGCACCACCAGTAGCCCCAGGCTACTGGTTTTGGGGATGTTGGGTTCTGGTAACAGATACATTCTGGGGAGTGAATAGCAGTAATTCCCGCTGTAATTTTGGGGAGTGTGAGAGCCACAACATCCACTTTTCATATTCCCATGGCCACGGTGGGAAACTGCTGCCCTCAGTACGGGTGTTTGCTTGTGACCCAGCAGCGCTGACCCTTCCCACTTCGGAAAAATGACAGATATGGCTTTATTACTGTTTTCTCTCAGCTGTAATTCTCACAGCTTCCCTAATCTTGAACCTGCAGTTGCACGGTATTTTTATACCCGGTTTTTGTGTATAACGTGATTATCTGCTGAATGGGATCCGCTCCATTACAATTAGACAAGTGAAGATGCAGATCTTAACACTTGAGCCATGTTTCTCATTTATTACTTTTCAAAGACTTTGGTGGGGTTTTTTTTTCTTGTTTATGTGTTTACAAATCCAATAACAATCCTCATTAAGAATTGCAAAACATGAAGCCATTTTGATCCCAGGCAGATGGCAGCTAAATGAAGTTTAATTAAAGAATGAGAGCTTTGATTCAAATCATTTTTAAAAAATATAGTGCACGGAGATGCTAGAGAACAGCATAAACAGCATCTGGGCTTTTATTCAGAAGCCCGAATGCGTTTGCGAAGGAAACATTTTGCAAACCCTTTTGGGCAGTCGCGGGTTGAGGGCTGCAGCGCCACGCGCCGGCTGGGCACGGGCACAAACCTTCCCCTGATGCTACGGCAAGGCTGGGAAACTGCTCAAGCAGCCACGCGGGAGGTCTTGCTTCCTTCTTTGGGGTGGTATTTGTATTTTTGAAGAGTTCAGCTGAATCACAGAATCACAGAATTTTCAGAGTGTGAAGGGACCTCTAGAGATCATCCAGTCCCACTCCCCTGCTAAAGCAGGATTGCCCAGAGCACATCACTCAGGACTGCATCCAGGCGGGTTTTGAAAACCTCCAGAGAAGGGGACTCCACCCCCTCCCTGGGCAGCCTGTGCCAGTGCTCTGTCATCCGAACCGTAAAGAAGTTTTTCCGTGTGTTGGAATGGAACTTCCTCTGTTCCAACTTGTGCCCATTGCCCCTCGTCCTGTCACTGGGAACCACCGAGGAGAGTCTGGCTCCATCCTCCTTCAACCCACCCTTTAGATATTTGTAAGCAATAATAAGGTCTCCCCTCAGCCTTCTCCTCTCCAGGCTAAAGAGTCCCAGCGCTCTCAGCCTTTCCTCATACGGGAGAAGCTCCAGTCCCTCAGTCATCTTGGTTGCCCTTCGCTGGACTCACTCCAGCAGCTCCCTGTCCCTCCTGAACTGGGGAGCCGAAAACTGGACACAGTATTCCAGTTGTGGCCTCACCAGTGCCGAGTAGAGGGGGAGAATGACCTCCCTCGACCTACTGGTCACACTCTTCCCTATGCAGCCCAGGGTTCCGTTGGCCTCTCTGGCGACAAGGGCACCTTGGTGGCTCATGGACAATTTACTATCTACCAGGACCCCCAGATCCTTCTCCTCAGAGCTACTTCCCAGCAGGTCCACCCCCAACCTATACTGGTGCCCAGCATTCTTCCTCCCCAGGTGCAGGACCTTGCACTTGCTTTTGTTGAACCTCATGAGGTTCCTCTCTGCCCAGCTCTCCAGCCTGTCCAGGTCCCGCTGGATGGCAGCGCGGCCCTCTGGAGAGTCAACCACCCCTCCCAGTTTGGTTCATCAGGGAACATGCTGAGGATACACTCTGTCCCCTCACCCAGGTCATTAATGAATATATTAAACAAAATTGGACTGAGTACTGACCCCTGGGGGACACCACTGGTTACAGGCCTCCAACTAGACTTTGTGCCACTGATGGCAAAGTAAGGCTTGACCTGAAATACGACCAAGATTCAGGATTTTTTTTTCAGCAGTCGTTATACCGCACCCGTCCCCGCAGTAACAACCCCCTTCCAGAGGGATGCGCAACACTATGGCTGACGTGGACGTTAAGTGGACATTACTTAAAGAGTCCTTTGTAGCCTGCACAGCTTGTGGCATGCTGCTCATCAACGGCTAAAGCTAATGTAACAAGGGCTGAGGTGTCCTGGAGGGCTCTGTCCCGGTGGTGCCAAGGTTTGGCTGCCCCAGGAGCTCCCGGGCGGCTCCGGATGGGGCTCAGCGCTTTCCTGCAGGTCAAACCCCGTGTGCCCGTCTGGCTGTACCAGGGTTTAAGGCCCGCTGGGTGCCAGTGTCTGGGAGGGCACACGGGGGTGGACAGTCCAGCAGATGCTTTTCCATACCAAAATACCTGTGGTGCCAGTGAGAAGCAGGCACAGGTTTCTGTGCGGGCTTTCTCTGGAGCCTTCCCAGGGGTGGCGACTGCTTGACAGCGCAGTGACTTCTATTTATTTCTTGTGTCTGCAAGTTGTTGGACCTTCAGCTGCAGCTTTCCTTCCCCCATATAACTTATAGAGATATAGATAGATAGATATAAAGCTTGTATACATATATCTATATCTATCTATATCCACCTCCACTATAACTTGTATATAACATACAACTCGTGCTTTGCCATCTCTTGGATTATTTTCTCCAGTTAATGGTTCAAACACCATTCATCTTAAACTGGAATCATGGAATTATAGAATCATAGAATGGTTTAGGTTGGAAGGGACCTTAAAGATCATCTTGTTCCACCCCCCTGCCCTGGGCAGGGACACCTCCCACCAGCCCAGGTTGCTCC